ACGGGACTCACCTGTCCATAACAGAGTCACTCAGAGCTTTAAATCTTAGAGATCTCAAAGGCACTGCTACTACGACCCTCACCCTGAGACATAAGTTGAAAATACCAATGTGCCTGATTTTACCAGCTCAGATTACTAGGCGGCACAAATAGGTAAGGTGGCAGTATTTCCCTAGACGAACTCTTTCACAAGGAGCTCTACTGTTACTACTTTTTTTAGTCAAATGTTTTGAGCTATAAGAAGAACAGATAAAAGTCTTATAAGAAATTTGGAGTACAGTAAACTTGCTTTTATTTATCAGTTTCACATGTTTTAACAATCATTACTTTAAATACAATACTTATGACGTATTTGTCAAAAACGTGCAAATTGTAAGAGGGCCAGTCATCGAAATTCTTATAAAAGTAATGTATAATTACATCGTATTCTCAAGATTTCACAACCTGTTAAATTTGCTTCTTCCGCTATTTGGACTTGGAACATCGTAGCGACATCTCTTTAAAATCGTTTAAACTAATTTATTTGTATGTTTTATTGACTGAGAAACTGTAGTGAGTGAGTTAAGGCTACAAGTTCCTCTTACCCCAACTGACTCTATATACTAACCAATATAAAGTTGGTAGGCTTCTCTTCCTCGATCTGGTCTGTCTCCTCAAACTTGATGGACCTCACGGCGGACTTCTTCACGACTATGGGCTCACCGGACTGACGGATGATCTAAAAACCATTTTTTTTCGCTATTTTCTATTCATACTTATAATTATTTATGGGTATTCGCTTTACGCCTTATTTGAAGGCAGATATGGAAAATCGGTTCTTCGAAATTGGATTCCAAAAGTAAGGAAAATAGACCCTTATAAGATGATAACGCGCACACACTCATAGGGAAACCCTATGTCGCAGGTGCCATGAACACACACTTAGACAACCACACATTACACACAAACTCACGAGAGAAATAAATGTAGGCCATATAAATATTTCTCCCGGCTCGGGAATCGAACTCGGGACCTCTGCGTGGCAGTCCAGCACGGTAACCGTTCGGCCCCATAGGCAGATAGACAATTGACATAATTCACTGTAATACTAATAGCTCGCAATAATCTAGTAGGATCCATGTTTGTACGAGATACATTTCTGTGTGCTATCCATGACGCAATTAAATCAACAAAAACAGCAGCAATGTAAAGCGCAGGCCACACCGCGAACGACACGTAGTTGCAAACATGCAAAGGTACGCTAAGAAAATACGTAAGTGTCCTGCTACACTAAACTATGGATACGTGCTGGGATGGAGTGTGACAAAAGGGCAACATATTTTACATAGCTTAGCGGGATCGTCGGGTTAGTTAAGTTAGCTTAGTTCGCGGTTTGAACCGAAGTATGAATAGATGCTCCGGCTACGTGAGCTAAGCTAACTTCGTTCGCAGTGTGGCCTGCGCTTCACTGGTTCGTTTTTAGTATTAGGTAAGTACAAAATAAACAAATTAACAAAAGTGGCCAATACTTTGTAGATACATTTAGATTACTTTCAATAAAAAAGATCCCAAAGTAGTATGTATGAGACAAGTTTGTAACCAGTGAGAACACTAAAGGACTATCCTCAAACATCAGGGCCGTGAATGGGCCGTGCTAACTTGTAAGAACTCCGGGCCCGTCCCAACCGCCGCCCGTCCCGGACACGGACATGTGTGAACGAGTTCATACAAAACATACGCAGAGATATTTTTTGAGCCCTTGACGGAGCACGGCCCGTCCATTTCCATTCGATAGTCCTTTAATATGTGTAGAACAACGGGTATTTCGGTTCCGATCCGGACACAAGTCTCTAAATAGTTCCTAATATGAAATGAGAATATCCAATTATAGTATAGTTACTTTGTTCCCTCCACCAATTGTACTTAATATGATATAGTGAATTAAAAATTAATGAAATATAGCCTATATTTGTTTATGTCAACGTGCATAAGCTACGTCTGTATGTATGTACTTCTTATTTTAGTCGTTCGACTATGATGCTTGCTTTTATATGCAGATAATAATATACTCATTTTATTTTGAGTGAATTTATGTGATAAAAAATGTGGTTCGACCGTATTTAGTACTGAATAAAATTAAATGTCTTTATTCGCAGCACAATTTGTAATTAATACCTAATTCTAAAGCGTTATTCTAGCAGAGCTCCTTGTGAAAGAGTTCGTCCAGGGAAGTACTGCCACCTTAGGGCGCGTTCCACCTATGTCGTGACAACAGATTGTCGTGCAGTTTACAGTGTCGTGTCTTGTATATTGAAATAAAGTTGTTCACATATAGCACGACACGATTAACTGTCGTTCACGATTTTTTATCGTTACAATGACAAACTGTCGTCACAGTGGGAACAGATAGAACGACAGTCGTCTGACGATAAAAAAAGTCACGATAAAAACGTGACGACAGATTGTCGCTGCTCCTATTGTCGTCACGTTTTGTTTATCGCTGTCCGCACGTATGCTGCTCCCTGCCCTCCCCTCTCGTACCCCGCACCCTCTGCTCGCTTTGCAGTAGCGTTGGGTCGTAGCCAGAGATGGGCAAGGAGGCTGTCGTGAAACGATAAATTATCGTCATGATCTAGTGGGAACAGCTAGTCACGACAGTCATTCAACGATAAAAAATCGTGACGACATAGTGGGAACGCGCCCTTACGTATTTCTGCCGCCAAGCAGTAATGTGAGCATTACTGCGTTCCGGTTTTAAAGGGCCTTATCAACTTATGTCTCAGGGTGACAGGCACAGTGTCAGTGTCCCTCAGATATTTGCGATTAAATCGCAGCTCTGAGTAGCACAGTAACTGTTATGGACAGGTGTGTAGCTTACCACGAGCCACATAACTTGTTCGTCCCGTCACTTGACAATATAAAAAAATGTTTATGTGGGCAAACTGTAGTTTTTGGAGGCATTGTTGACATTCCTCTTGAGTCGTTAGAGTAACATGCATAATACCGCGAAGGTGTTAAAAATAAACCAACAGAATACTGTGGAAAATACATTTATTGAAATAAAAAATGACATCGGGCCATCGGACAGTGGATTGGAATACATACAATATTGACAGTGACATTAAACTACCCAAAATATAAAAAAATAAGAAAAAATCACAAAAGTGTCATACAAAAAAATATACCATACACTACCGCTACAGAATAAATTAAAACAATTTTAAACAAAATAGTAACAAAAAACAATCGCTATAACAAGATAATAATAAATAAGTTTTAAAAAATAATATGTAGATCCAACACTGGCCTGTCAATATTGTGGTAGGGTAGGGCTTCAAAGGGGACAAAGCGGAAAGAAATGGAAGGAAAATAATATAAAGGATAAAAGCTTTCAGGACAATGTCATTTATTTATTTCAAATAAAGTATCCTTAAGTATAGCTGCCGATTATAATTATTTAAACTTGAAACTTTTAACAAAAAAAAAAGTTAAAATAAATAGTTTAGAAATTATACACGATTCCACAACCAATGTGACAGAAAAAGTTGGAAATTTAGTCCAAAAAATATGGATAAATTAAACGTAGCTGTTAATATTTGTAGGCAAAATTACAAAGCAAAAATACTATAAAATTAATAGACTTTCTATAATAAATAAATACAAAGGATGGGATAGGTCACCTAACAAGGATTGGTTAGTATCTTTATGCAAGGGAAACTAATCCTTTCAGCCAGATTTTTAATACTCAATTACGACTAAAGAAAAGACCGAACCACATTTCTGCAATGATATGAGAAGATATTCACAGTCCTGTTCTCTGAACATTTCTGTTCAAGTGGTAGTTTGGTACTAAAATTACTATTTATGTAATTTGTGCTACGAATGAATATCAATAGGGCTCATAACATTTAGTTATTTTCAACTTTTTAAGTTTTGATACAAAATGAGTTAGGTATGCTCCAAAAAGTAATTTATTGTATTATCACTTAGAAGAAACACGAATGTTAAAACAGGGATGTTTTAAAAAGAGTATACTTTTATAACAAAAACTCATAAGTTTAAGTACTATTGCCATGTTATAGAGTTTTAAACAACAAACTTCTTATACTGGCAACACGAACATCTATATCAAAAATATACGCGGATTTTTGATGAACTCAACAAAACTGACAACTATTAATGTCACTTTGTAATAAAATGTTGCCATGTTTATTGTTATTAATGAAAAGAATTTGTTTAGTTAAAAGAAAAATAGTGGGTACTGACTGGGTGAATCATTCAAGTCAATCTCTTAAACAACACTATTTTAATTTTAACAAAACATAGCAACACAGTAAATGTCAATTTCCTCCAGCAGATTAAAAATCGGGCAGTACCACATTCTAAGGTTTAATAATATCAGCCTTTACGTACGTGAGAAATGTAATTTGGTCATGGATCTTTTCATTAGATATTTGTCGGCTTGTTCTATCCCATAAAAGTTTTGTACTTGTTTTTTGTTACTACAACACAAGTTTTAGTCCTAAAATCTAACATTAATACTTGAAATTCTTAATACGACGCCATACTAACACTAAAAATTTGGTGCGTGGTAAACTTGAGGTATACTTTTGCATTAAAATTAATACTTAATTATTTTTTTAATCTAATATTTTTACCAATATATTATTATTAAAAAGTTCAAAACGAATAAGTTCATTTGATGAAAACTTCATCTTTGGCTTACTTCCTAATCTCGTTAAACGTTAAAATTAGTTTGGTGCACTTATTACCTACAGTTTAAAAAAACAGTATTTTTTGTAACGATAATTAAGAAGAATTTATAAACGATTTTTACAACGCGTCAGTTCAACGGATAATTTTTTTTGTTTAAAATTAGAACGTTTTAATAAAAAATTAATTTGTAAAATTTTCATTAAAAACATTCGATTTTATAATTTACACGCTTGACGTACTTATTTAAATTCGTTTTTAAACTTATTTTTTATATTGCGCATAGCATCACGATTCGATTCTAACTTGACGAAATTTTTTACATTCAATGCTTCCCATTTCACAGTGTCTTCTCATTAGAATATCTAAACAAAAGGACTTCGTCCATTTAGGGTCAGTCAAAATGAAAAATGTTTTAAAATAATATATAATCGAAATTAAGGCAATGCCAGAATCTACCCTGTCACTAAAATCTGTACAAAAGTACAAAGATGATGTAAAATTTGTACGAAATGGGTTTATTACAACAATATAAAAGGCAGTTATTCAAATTATTGAAAAAAAAATTACTCATCCTGGGAGTTACAAGTAGTTTCAACGAAATCTAAAAGCCTATAAGTAGAACTCAAGGACTAAAAACATCGTTGCACAATAATTTTTTTCTTCAAGGCAAACTGTCTACGAGGACCTTAACAATCATTCGATATTAAAGATTTGTGAAATCATAAATTTATGAATGATCGGTCACTAGAAGATCAAAATCTCTACATTTTTACAAAAAATATTAACTTGCCAATGAAGTTTTCGGTGTTATCTAATGAAATAAATTCTTAGTAAGTGTAGAAAATTTATCATTCAACATAATTATTAGCAAACATATAATAATCACTCGAAAATAAATCTTCCGTACCCGAATCTTTATTTTCCACCGGCCACCATTGATTTTCTTTTTGATACTCTATTTCATTATTAGTTTTATTAGCATTGGTGTTAATGATTTTATTAGTTAGAATTTCGTCAATACGTGATGTAGAAGGTTTCTGATTGGTTACTTTATAAATATGATCTGCTAGCGCATTGGCTAATACTTCTTTAGGCGCAATTAAATTCGAATCACATCCTAATTCGTTTATCGAAGCAATTGTTCGGAGTCTATCAGCGTTTAGTCGCGCGAAACTTCTAGAATTTTCGAGATTTGTTATGTCCCTAAATACGTTAGAAGGTAGTTCTTGGTTAGGTTCGTAGATTTCATACACAGGATGGCTAGGTAAGGGATTAGTAAGGACGCCGTGTTGTACCTTGGTTTTTTCACTGATGACAGTTTCAATGTCGATTTCTTCATAGGTTTTGATGTTCTCTGGCGTGTTTTCTGCGCTCACTAGGCTGTGGAGACTTGTGGATTCTTCTAGAAGGGAATGCTTGACGATTGACGGGGGTGAAAACATTACTGAACTGTCACCCGCCAATGTTTTGCTCTGGAAAAATGGAGACGATTGGAATATAGTTTGTATATTTTACATAGAATTTCGAAACGCCTGACCGGAATAATCACACCTTTATCAGATGGTGGTATTCCTCATATATCCGTCTCTGTAGTATAAGATGGTGAAACTTTTAATGAAAGTAAATAAGTAAATAATACACACTCCGACACATTTAGCAAAACAAAATCAAAGTGAGGATAACGTTTGTATTTAAAAAAAATAATTAAGACATAAAGTAGCAATTAAATTAAAATCTTTCAACGTTGACTTAACTTTGTTGAAAAAAAAAATTAATTAAATGAAGTGCACTTTTTTGCAACAAAACCGACCTCAAAAGTTCTTGGAATTACCTCTACGTGCCAAGTTTTATTGAAATCTGTTACCAGAAAGTACACAAAACCAGATTCATCCCCTAGTTGGCCACCATTAGAGGTGGAATATTTTCTTGAAATTTAAATCAGACCATTACTGAGGTACCCTCTTTCCAACAGAAAAAGATTCATCAATATCGGTTCACAAATTTCCGGAGTTATCGCGAAACTTATGTACAGTCAAGAGCACATCAAGCTTGACACTTTGATCTTTGGACCGTTCTTATCGTAAGCGGCATAGAGTTGGATTTAAGTCTTAAGTGTAAAGCTTGACGTGCTCTTCACCCTGTACATACAAAAATAATATAGTCGAATTGAGAACCTCAACCTCATTGAGAACCTTTGTAGCAGTAGAGTTCCTTGTGAAAGAGTTCGTCCAGGGAAGTACTGCCACCTTACCTGTTTCTGCCGCCAAGCAGTAATGTCAGCATCACTGTGTTCCGGTTTTGAAGGGTAAAGGTGCTGGTGTAATTACAACATGGAACTTGTCAACTTGTCTCAGGGTGACGGGCGCAGTGGCAGTGCCCCTCAGATCTTTGCGATTTCAAAACTCAGAGTGGCACTACAACTGTTATGGACAGATGTGTACATTACCATCAGTCACTTGATAGTATATAAAAAAGACCTCCATTTTTTCTTTTTTTTGAAGTCGGTTAAAAATAGTTTCATTTCCCCTTGAGTATTTCGTAATGAATACTAACCGGAGTCTCGACAATGAACGACGACACGTCTGGCACCATGGTCTGGTGTTGCGAATGAGGCGTGCTGGTGGCGGCGCCCCAGCTGTTTGCGAGGGCCTTCCTGGCGCGCTTGTGGGCAGGCATGTTCTCTTTGCCTTGCTGGGAGGACTCGGACACGCGTCGCTTCAGGCTGCCGATGCCCGAGTCGTTGACCTGTAATATCAAACGAAGACTTCATTTAGGGAGTCGGCGAAATAGAAGACCACAGAAACACACAAAGTAAACAGTGCAATTAATAAAGCGACAACTCCTGTCAACCGCTAGTAGCTGTAAGGGCAGGATTACACTTGTACGGTTTATTCGATTCAGTTTTCTCATTCGATTTACCGTATACGTTAAAAAATCCTATGTGCATTCACATTTATACGGTAGAACCGTTCAGCTGCAATGCTCATAATGCTAAGTTTTGTAAAAAGTGAACGACGTTGCAACGGCGTACAGTGGTTATTTTACTGGTATAATAGGCGTAAAAAAGAATAAAACACATTTTGGCAGCGCTCAATTGCATCACAGCGTAGTAATTGGTAATATAAAGTGACATATGTAAAATAAAATTAAAACAAACCAATAATAGTAAAATTCTCTTTCCTACTGTTCTTTCCTATCGTGTACGCGATTTACGTTGGAAATGAGTTGTTTCTATCATAATTTAAAATGTAATATACCCCCACAATTTGGGTGTAATATATATTATTATGTATTTATTTTTTGTATGGAGTTTATTTGTGAAGTAACATACACTGTTGGACCCGTGCTTGGGAATATATATATATTTTACTGACCTGTACATTAGCGCCTTCCTGTTCTGCATTACCCGACAGCAGAGAGTCACTAAACTGCACAGTACTGTCCGATTCTTCTCGTTGTATCATTTCTGTTATATCTTCTACCAATAGCCCGGGACTGGATGGTTCATACCGAAGGCCGGACTTCTTGCCCAGCTCAGCCATTGCGATTTTAAAGGGCGTTGGGGTTCTGGAATAGAGGAAATATATTGATAACTGACGATTGAAGTCAATGTTGTCCCCTTTATCATGAATGGATGTATTCAACTTACAACTTTGACAAGAAAATTTTTGTCAAATGTATATTTTACGGTACTGGTGTTGTGAGACGATAGGAGACAATGAATATTTCTCCAACATGCTCAGAAATGTTTGCATTGCTTAAAAAAAAGAACCCACAAAGTTGAACTCTTTGCCAGTCTTAGCTGGCAAAATAAGTATGAAAATCCATTACTGTCCGCTGCTCAAAAATTTAAATAAATATCTACTAACGACGAGCTGTGTAAACAGACTATAAAGAATAACTGTCATACAGTCAATTGCTCACAGTTATTGGTAGTTATAGCTCAATATATATAGTCAGTATGTTCACTTTCGGTCGACCGTCACTGGTAAGTAAATTACAGTACCCGATTGGTGAACTGTTTTACAAATTACTTTGGTGTTACCACACGTATTAACACCAAATTTTTGCTAGTATTTTACTGTTAAATGCTCGATATCTTAGTATAAAAAAAACAAATATTCATGATGCGTCCCTATAACAGAAAAAAGAGGGAAAAAAAACTTTGGCGGGATTGTTGACGTTTAGTGTTTGATGAAGGCTTTAATTGTGATAGATGACATTATTAATTAATTTCTGTAATTATTACCCGTCGAAATGATCGTCAGGATGTGCTTTTTCAAATGGTGTTAAAACTTTAACATTTGATATCTTATTGGAATCACAATCTTATTGGAAAAAAAGGTTCTCAAAGTGGAGGCCATTGCACCTTGTGATCGTTGTTTTGAAAAAAACTTATTCATTATTAAAACACTTTTTGGAGTAAAATATCACTTAAATACATAACTTTATTCAATAGAGGTCGTATTAAAACCTCTTTTAGGTCATTACATTGTGAGTTGTGATAGGATTCGTCAATTTTCTTCCTCGCGAACTTAGAGGATAAAAAAAAAGCTCGCGACTTATAGTGTTTTTACGCCATTTTCGCAAATTTTCGCGATTTTCGTCGCTACGCGCGACTGTCATTAATTTATTTTAAAAATAGTTACACATTATATTCATATCATTCTAGTGTTAATCGACAGGTATTTAAACGCTTGTCATCTTTATATATGTTTTGTTTCTTAATACAGTGAATATACGAAGTGGTTAGAAGTTAAAGCTTAAAATACTATGAAAATATTTCAGAAGTGTTCAGTGTACTCAGAAATTAACAAATAAAGTCGTCGTATTACAATCATAACTGTAGTCTAAACAAAAGCTACTTAAGTGCTCTTATCGCACATGTTATTCGTTTTACGGTAGCTTAATAGGTTCTTGAGTTTCAAGTGTTTATACTATACGTGTCATATCGCCGCGCGTAATTTAAACAATAAAAAAGGTACCATCTGATTAGAAAAGTGACAGATATCAAATATCATGCGCGCTGACGATCAAGTGGCTAACATCAGTGTTCGTGATTGCGAAAATGAAAAAAATATATATATTGTCTATGGTATTACTTATTTTGCGCTTAATTATGGTTCCTATTGGGTAATTTTCAGAAAAATTTCAAACAGTGAAAATCTTTCCGAAGAATTTCAGTTTGAAAAATATAATACAAAGACTCATATTATGTTCTACATTTAGGAATGTATTTTGAAGTTTTATTTAGCGTGGACTGTAAATTAAAATTGTATAGCTAAAGGCAAGTTGAGAAAAACGAGATTAAAATTGGACAACAGTGAAAAGTAATCATAGGGTAATAAATATTTATAATGGCTCCATCGAAAACGATGTTCGGTATCTCCTACTTTTGACAGCTATCAACTGTGAAATGTGGAAAAATATAGGAAAAATGTAGGAAAAATATTCGAAAAAAATATTTATTTTTTCTGAAAAACATAAATTTTTCAAAGTGGAAAATTTTTCCTAACCAAACACTAATAATTATGGTAAACCAATATACCTCAATACCACTTAAGAAAAATAAAATTAATGACTAGGAATTTCAAACCAATCAATCACATTATTGCGTGCCTCCCAATTCATACTTTATATTGTTAGTGAATATTATATATTATCCAAAAAAAGTCAATAAAGAACCTAAACAAAGTTATCTGTTATAAGTTGGTAGAAAACTTAATATCAAAAGTTGCTATAGAAAATCGAACGTAAAAATCGGCGATAGCTCGTTGTTAAACCCAGAGTGTAATTTAAAAACGGAAAATACCTTTAAAGACTTTAAAACTGTGGTAGTTTTTACCTAATTGGCACCTCTTTTTGAGGTTTTTTTTATTATAAACCATTGGTATTACAACCCAATTGAAATGATAACACAATGTATGTCTGACATTAAGAGTAGTATGACGCTAATTAGGTCGGAGTCGATTTTTCTTTATATCTAGATTAAGATAGAACAACACGTAACCGGCAATCAGTGTTAACCGACTTCAAAAAAGAAGGAGGTTCTCAATTTCACTGTATTTTTTTGTGCATGTTACGAGATTACTCCGACATTTTTTAATTGACGATTTTTTGTTTATAATAATAACGCTCACAATCAACATAGCCCCGCACTAGGGAAACCCTGTGTCGCGGGTGCCATGGACACACAATTAGACAACCACAAATTACACCCAAACTCACGAGAGAAATAAATGTAGGCCATACAAATATTTCTCCCGGCCCGGGAATCGAACCTGGGACCTCTGCGTGGCAGTCCGGCATGGTAACCGTTCGGCCACGGAGGCAGTGTTTGTTGGAAAGGGTGGATTACCGCATTTGTAGTTCCATTTAAATTTGAAGAAAATATTCCATCCGGTAATCGGAATCCGGTTTATATGATTTCACCCACTTTCCATTAACCTATTTCAATAAAACTTGATCCAGTTGTAATTCCACAAAGTTTTGAGGTCGGTTTTTTTACACCTTCACAGGCATTTTCGGTGTGTTCTTATTTATTGCAAATTTGTTTTTTATACCGAACATGGAAAAAATCAACTACAGTTTGTTTAAGGCATGTTCTTGAAATCTAATGTCTGTTACTATTCTTTACAAGCAAAACTAGAAACAGCGTGTTAGTTAATGGAGAACTAAAATTAATTGACATTGATGCAATAGGGCGAAAATGAACCAATATTAAAACACTTACTTTGGCGTGTTCTTCCCCAGTTGATTACCCGGCGTGAGACTAGTGGCAGGGGTAGGCGTGTGCAGTAATGGACTCGCGCCCCATTCCTGAAACGAACAAATACCTAATTTAATGAACTTAAATACAAAAGACAGTCAGCCTTAAAAAGGCTTCTTATCGTGTCGATGCTTCTTTAAATATTACTTTTTCTTTTGCCTTAAAAAGCCTCGTGTGTAAAATACCTTTATTTAATACTTCATGACGATTATTATTATTACACATATTGAACAATATTTCTCACACAATTTATTATTATTGTTAATAGTGAATTATTTGTATCAAAATACATTTATATATTATATACATTTTAGTTATGACCTATTTCAAAACGTACTACTGCAGAACAACAAGCTAGGGCATTCACATAGTATTAAGTCGCTGGGTCACCCTTTTGACATGCCCTTATTGTTACCTTGTTTCACATTAAATTCTGGTTCAATTATATTTTATCTTCGTTCATTACAGAGAGACATGAATCGACAAGATAGTAGATACCTTAGCAGCCTGTGCTTGCGCTTGTCTCAAAGGCGTGGTGTCAAAGGACACTCCAGCAGGCGAGTTGAGGAACTGCGATGGGCTGAACGGCAATGCCTTTATCGGTGTTATGCCTGTCTCCGTTGATTGCAGCGCTTTTGTTATTGTTTCGTTCCAAGACTGTAATAAATTGTTGAGACATATTGTTAGCGATTGTTTGAAAAAATTTTTTTTCTGTTTGTAAGAATACTTTGTCTCGACGCTACCGTGAATACGATTTTAACGCGATTCTTACACTGTCGTAACGGACCAACATACATACTGTTAGGCGGCGGTGGGCACCAGTCTTTTAAAAAAAACTCACATAACTTTCCCTAAAATATTTATTGGACGTTTTCACAAATTTTACCAAGCTTAAACTCTTACAAAAATGTGACCCACGAGATTACGGCACTAATGTCTCTGCTCCTGGTCAACGCGTATTGGGCGAGTGGTGGTAAATCAGCTAACTGAACGGCCACGCGGCTACATTTAGTTTTATTAAAATATAAATGCTTAGTAATCATATTCAAGGGAAGAAAATCAGGGTATAACAATACTTATATAAAAATGTGTTGTGTTGGATACATCCCGCTGTAGGCGCCGCCATTCTAGAACTCTACTCAATGCTCAAGTCAGGACTTGAGCAGACTTGAGTATGATTTCAAGCACTGGAAATACGACCCTAATGGCAAGGACTTGAGTATGATTTTCAGTGCGCCCTACAATACTCAAATCCTGACTTGAGTATTGTGTAGAGTTCTGAAATACGACCCTTAGAGTGGTTACACACACGGTTGCATCGCTACACTTGCAATTTATATATTTGACCTTTATCTTACATCAGCGTAAAAGTGGTGTAACCTACAATAATTTTTTTTTCTTCAACATTACTTTAACTGATACTAAACTACATAATTATTTTATATTTAGATATTATATAAATAATTTGGATGCTATTTTCATGTATAAGATACAATTAATTATTAAATTAAGTATAATTTAAAGTAATATTGTAAAAAAAAAATTGAATGCATACATCTATTGCGCTGATAGCCTCAATTAAGAGCTAGATTTATTGAGTAAATATGTCTATGCCACAACTGAATAACAGTGGCCGTAGCATGTCAGAATATGTGTGATAAACCTCCCCGTGACAACATTTAATTCAGTTGGTAAATCTTAGTTTGCTTGTTTGGTAATTAACTATTGTTATACACTTTGAAGAACAAGGACGACGATATAAAATTGCGTATATAGCTATATCTTTGTCGTTTAAACATCGCCACGAAAACCATGGAACAAAAAATGTCTTTTCATCTCGTTTGTCGCGCTCAATTTTTACGTTGATAAAATTACTGTGCAAATGTTTTAAAATCAGCTGTGACCTTGCAGCCATGTTTGGCACTATGTTAATCTTTTGCAGTCATTGGTCGCCGGCGCTCGCGATGACATAAAAATGCGACGTCACGTCACGGTGCTCACCATGTTCGCTATTGTAATAAAATTTAAAAATGCCGGTTTATCACTCAAAGTTGTAAGTATGTAATAAGTTTCAAACACAATAACTAAAACAAAAATTACCAACAAATTGTCCGATACAATACACAAACTCACATTTGGGTTGGCTGCTATAAGCGGAGTCTTCTTATTCTTGCGGCGCAGAATGGGAGGAGGACTGTTACTTGTATTGGCTTCGAGTTTCTTACGGGGAGACGTGTATGAGGGGACGTTGAGATCCTTCTCTTGGTTGTATGATACTGGAATACATATAATAAGATTTTGTACAGGAAGTCAATATTAAAATAATGATAACAGTGGAGTAGCCATTCTTGAATAAATGTACGTTTTGAGGTAATTGTTGGCTTAGGGAATCACCACACTTAACGCGGGATCGGCTTGAGCTGGTTAGAAAAAGCTTTATGTTAATGCAGTAAGAGCAAAAAAGACGTTGCGCGTTTCGTTTAGACTCGGACCGCCGACGCAAAACACACAACGTCCTCTTCGCGCTTATTACATAGACGTTATACAGCAGCAGTAGAGCTCCTGGTCAAAGGGTTTGTCCAGGAAAGTTCTGCCACCTTACCTATTTCTGCGGCTAAGCAGGAATGCGAGCTTACTGCGTTCCAGTTTTGAAGGGTAAGGGTGCTGGTGAAAGTACAGGTACATGATACTTGTTAACTCATGTCTCAGGATGACTATTATGAACAGGTGTGTAGCTTACCATCAGGCGCACCACTTGTTCGTCCCGTCACTTGATATTATAAAAGAAACATGGACTTTTTTTTTAAACCGGCTTAATGCGATTTCTAGTCGATAAGTGTGGTGCCTGCCATAAAAATCCAAAGGTTACATATTCACTGCCTTATCACGGACAAATAAAACATACACGGTGGAAGCAACTCGCCTATAGGCAGCCAGTATGTCTACTATGAATTTAAATGAAATTGTAGCGATCCTGGCGGTCGCTAAAAGAATTTATATTTTCTATACAAATATTTACAGTCGCCAACGCCAATCGACATAGTAAAGGTGTTGATCTAATAGATTAATTTCCTAAGCATTGTCTATGACTTTTTCCGGGAAACTATGAAATGGGTCTATTCACAAATAAACACAAGAACACTTGTCGTTCCGGGAAATTACTAATTACTCAAGGGCCAAATCATCTGAGGGAAGTAAATTATTAAAGTCATTAATGGCTAAAGAAATATGATCCAAATTAATTGTTATATGTAGGACGTCTTAAGAGCCATCCAAATCTAAGCGCTAAGAAAACCCAGAAAGATACCAACGAGTAAAAAATGCAATCGAATGAACTCATTTGGCTACACTTCAGTAAAAATGACGTTTCTTGATGTATTAGTAATTAATGGACTGCAAAACAATTAGCTACTTACCTGTACTATTATTGCTATTTTCTCCCATAGCCACACGTGCCAAATAGTTCTTAATTGGAGAATTTGACGGCAAAGACTCTACGTTTACGTATCTGGAAAAAAAATAAGAGGTCAGTTTGTCGTGTTTGTTTTCTTTATAAACTTTACAGCTACATGTCATCATCATCAATAAATTATAAATCCAACTGCTGGGCAAGGATTTATTTTTTTTTTATAAAACCAAGTGACGGAACGAACAAGTCGTGCCCTCATAACAGTTGCAGTGCCATTCAAAGTTTTACTTCGCAAAGATCTTAAGGGCACTGCCACTGCGCCCGTCACCCTGAGACAAGTAGACAAGTCCCATGTGCCTGTAATTTCACCAGTACCTTTATCCTTCAAGCCCGCAACGCAATAATGATCGCATTACTGCTTGGCGGCAGAAATAGGTAAGATCCCTGGACGAACTCTTTCACAAGGAGCTCTACTTCCACTATAAACTACAGTGAAGTAATCTATTAAAGTTTTAAACTTACTTATACGGCGATTCGATGATTTCAACTGTGTCCGCGGCTACCAGTCCGCCTCTATCAGGTGACTTGGGCCTTGTAGTTTGCTTAATGTTGCTCAGCTGATCTTTTAACAGCTGTCTGAAGTGCAAGACTTGCTTCGATGGAGGGTTGCTTGTATTCGATGAGTTGCTTATTGTTGAATCGTTGAAGGTGTCATTATTCCAGGACTGGGAAAAAAAGAAGGCTTTTATAAGTGAGAAAATCCTGATTAAATTGCCTGGGACCTGGATCCTAAACTATTTAGAGTGATATATCGAGTTTTTAGGTTTTCGCGATAGTTACACATGGAAAATGAAATTAAATCCCGTGTATTTCTTTTTTTTTTCACACAAACCACTGTAAGTCTGAAAATCAAAATAATAATTATATACTACAAGAACTAGGTAGCTACGACTCTTTACTTTTGGATTAAAATGCTGAAACAGGTACTAGCGCATAGAACGAATTTTGAAAAGTACATGGTAAGGCCACAGATATGTCTAATATTAATGCTAACCACCGTGGCATGTAGCGTTTCTGCTACTAAACTACTGCTACAAAATTCCCATTGGAGTAAGTAGAGACTATCGACCTGTGAAACGTCTCTTGCTTCACCTACATTCATCAATATTTTCACACACACCTTATTCTTCTCACTACTACGCTCCCGTCTTTTAAAACTCTCGATTTGATCTGAAAATAATCCACGTGGCTGTTCCTAATCTAACCCACCATTAAAACGAACCGCTTTGGCGGCGGATTATTTTAACTCCAAAACAAGCACGTATAAAAAAGTATTCATCGCCAAGGTCACTGTAGTTATTTGTACTATTCATAAAGCAACAAGAGGTTAAAACCCATTAAAAGCGATTGATTGTTTAACAACATGTGAAATGGCTACAATTGTTTTGAGATTAAACTTGTTACACGAAAACAATATAAACTACACTACATGAGGCACAAAGTCATAAAGCATTACAAAAATGAAAGAACACCAAAAACTCGAACATGAAATTATAGGTATAAGATGTATGGTATAAAGTCAAGAGCACGTAAAGCTGGACACTCAGATTTAAATCCAACTCCATGTCGCTTGTGATAAGAACAGTCCAAAGTACAAAGTGTCAAGCTTAACGTGTTCTTGACTGTACAATCAAATACGGCAATAACGTATACATGTAACTAAATAATATATACACAATTTTCGTAGTAAGTATTTATTGCACCTATTGTGGCTGAATATCTGCAAGGACTGTGTATTCTATACTCCCCTGTAGCTGAGTCATAAACCTACTTGATATGTTTCTTTTAATATTAATTTGTATACATGTTAAAGCCTTCGACTGTACATATTTACGGTGCATTGTTAATAAACATTGAATTGGCGAATTAAAATATGAAAAGCCAAATAAAAATGGTAAAAACATAAATACGGACGACTACAATACCTACCGCTTAACTGGGTCGGTTCCAGAGGTAGCTGCGCGCTGCGGTTTCCGTAACAGTTATGCTGCACACGGGATAATTTCAACAATATTTTTCTGACGATATTCAATAACAAGTTGATTGAAAAAAGTGTCAAATGGCTTGTCTATTCATTTCAATTATCAATGAAATAATTTTCTTTTTTATTAATATTTCATATAACAATTGACTAATTTGGTAAGCACTATTTTCAATCAACGTGATATTGAATATCGTCAGAAAAATCTTGTTGGAATTACAGCTACCTCAGGAACCGACTCAGTGAAGCGATAGGCCTGTAGTTCCATATTTTTCTTTAAAATTAGGATAACACCCTTTTGGCAGTTTTCTGATTCTGCACAGTTCAAATCTGTACAATTATACTTTTCAAAATAATACATTAATTTGAAATTCATTTAGTTCCTGTTATGGACTTTCGATTTCCTCTAAAGGTTGCAAGGTTTGTGTCATAAAAGTAATCTTTTTACAAAGAAATTAAATTTATTTTTCGTTACTATGAAAATATTTGACGATCGCAATACAAATTACACTGATCGTTCTTTTTCAGTTTGCCAAAAAAGTGCACCCATAGAAAACATAAAAAGCACACCCACATCGTTATAAGCGACCTGGACTTTGAGTTCGCTACTGTACTGTACTACTTCTGGCCGCTTTACCCGTTGTTGTTTGCGTCGAAGATGCTCGAAGCTGTCCAGTATTTCTGGCTCGTACTTGCGCCGCATTGTCGAGTTCCAGTGGTTCTTTATTGCGTTGTCCGTTCTGAAACATAATATAGAGTAAGGTAAGTGTAGCAAGTTAACTCTCAATGCGCCATAGATCATGAATATACAATAGAGATAGAGAAAGCGTAAGTAGTACATTTGTACAGCGCCCCTAGCGGCTTCCCTAAAAGCTAAAATTTGAAATGCAAATATGTTACGCGAACACTAGAGTATTCGCTTGTTTAGTAATTTATAATAAAGTTAACTACTGGATATTGACTTTAGGCGAAAATATAAAAGACACTGATTTTGATATTACTAATGATTTGTATAAAAACACTTTTTACTGCTATGTTTTGATATAAGAGTCTTATTCAGCTTTTTTATATAGAAGCCAGTTATAAATGGTCCCGTAACTGACCTGCCGGGCAGTAATTTGGCGATCTTGGCCCATTGGTTGCCAAGCTGTTTGTGCGCTTGATATATCACTCGGTCCTCGTGTTCAGTCCATGCCGTTTTCTTTATTGACGGGTTTAGGTGGTTGTGCCAGCGCTCTCTGGAAATTAATAATCTCATTGAAACATTGTTATAATTGCATAAGGTTGCTTCTCGGTTAAGAGGTAGACGGCTAGAATCCACGTTGTACCAATAACTTAAACGAAACGGAGCATTTTGAGCTTAATTGTTATAAGTTGTGACATGGTTTAAAAAATAGGGCGTATTTTTCTATTGCAAAATCAACCCAATTCTCTAAATCTATAAATAACATAAAAGTTGAATAATATTCTGTTTTCAAAATGTCACATGCGTATAGATGGCGCGGCTGTATTGTCACCAATCATCGGTATAACTGCCTCCGTGGTGGAACAGTTACCATACTGCCACGCAGAGGTCCCGGGTTCGGTTCCCGGGCCGGGAGAAATATTTGTATGGCCTACATTTATTTCTCTCGTGAGTTTGGGTGTAATTTGTAGTTGTCTATGTGTGTGTCCATGGCACCCGCGATACAGGGTTTCCCTAGTGCGAAAAAACCATTGTACTCACTCGTGACTTTTTGAATGGTCAACGTAAGAGATGGTCCTTGCGCGGGCATGCTCGCGCGGGTCATAGTGAACTACTCGAATACCCTAAGGGTCGGTAGGGAGAGTCACTATAATCACAACTAATGTAGAAAGATACGGGGATGGTTAACATAAAAAAGAGCTTTGAAAAAAATAAAAATATTGTCATGTTTTAGCACTTCCCATAACTTTTTATGGATGACATCATGGCCAAAGAAGTAATACTAACAACACTTGTTTGAAGCACAATGACCTTTCTTAGTTATTTAAAAAAATATTCAACCAAATTTGACAAATTACATACGATGGTTTATGATAGATAGATAGAAAATTCTTTATTGTTAGCACCACATACATAGAGATTACAGGAGAAAAATTAAACACATAAGCAGGGTAACAATGAGCGATTTTTTTTTTATTTACTGAACAGTTTTTCCAAGGAGGTATAGTGATCAACACGCTACGATGGGCTATAATAAGCTCCGAGAAGGACTTTGGAACTTGCAACTTGGACTTTTGCAAGAGTGACCTCAACCAACAGATGCTCACCAGCATTGAGTGACGGTGGTTGTGACGAGGTACTAATGATGGCGAAGGGAATGTGTGCTTTTAAGTAAATAGCTACCCCACCACCAGCAGAGCCGATACGATCATTAAGTATAAGACGGAATCCAGCCAATGCATAAGAGGAAGAGGGTAAACATATTTCAACCGAGACTCGGAGATCAATACTGCATGTATACTGTTGAGGTCAAACGACGTCAGCATATCAGAGTAATAAGCCGGGATACTTTGGGCATTAATATGAATAACGTTAAAATTTTTTGGAACATCAGAAAACGAAGTCTCCAGAGTATCAGAAAGAGAGGTGAGGTTTATGGTGTTATATTAATGAAAATTGTGTAAATAATTTACCATAAACTCACTGCTGGGCGCGCGTCTCCTCTAAGTAGAGGGATAATGAATCTTCTCTTATGTAGATTCTCAAACATGATTTCCTTCATCATTAAATCAGGTGATATTTAGTAAACTATATTGTACATGATTTCAAATACAGGGCGGACCTCCGAAAGGAATTTAACCTAGGACCACACAAGCTAAGCGTTAAATTATTATTTTAGTTCTAAAGTTAGACATTGTTGTGACCATTGTTGTTGTGTCTTGCTGTGTATTGCTAACCGATTCATGGATTGACTTTGCTTTTGTTAAGCTGATTATTATGATACGTTGGGAACTATGTAACAAGATTGATCTAATAAAGAAAACTTGGCATGGGCCCTCCGCCTTTTTCATATATGTACTAATTACCTGCATTGTTTCCCTATCCTGCCTCTAAGATGTCGCGCAATAAGCGTCCATTTCTTCGGTCCATACTTCGCAACTAATTCCATCACCTTTTCATCTTCCTGTAAAGAAAAAATAAATAAATCAAATTTCATGTTATTGTTTTTCATTGGACAACTTGCGTTTATCAACCCATTCAACTATAATGTGTCTTATAATGCGAAGCATAAGAACTAGGATCGATCGTCTGTGAAGACATTAAACGTATCAACCATTGACATTTTAAGAAACTTTTTTTTATAATACCAAGTGACGGGACGAGCAAGTCACACCACCAGGGGTAAGCGACACTCCTGTCCGTAGTAACTACTACGTACAGGAGTGTCGCTTACCTAACGCCTTAGCTTACGAAATCTCAGGGGCACTGCCACTGCGCCCATCATGAGACATAAGTTGACAAGTCCCATAAGTGCCTGCAATTGCACCAGCACTCTTACCCTCCAAAACCGGAACGCCGTGGTAGAAATAAATATGGTGGCAGTACTTCCCTGGAGGAACTCTTTCACAAGGAGCTCTATTACCAAATTTCTAACGAAGTTCGAGTTTGCATTCGAACACAGGACACGGCTCTTACGTCACACAGCTGGCAACCCAGAATGCTTAGTCTACTTGTTTAGTGTCACTAATATCATGGATGGCAAATAAAAATTGCCATCACAACCTTTTTGCCTGGCTGTTTGCAAGAAGAAATACCCTAAAAAAGCCCCATAAGTATTTTCTTCGTGAATTTTAGGACTCATTTTGACGTATAAGTGCTGACCGTGAAGAGTCCTTCAAAAATTAGTAAGGATTTTCCTCAACAAACTTTATTACTAATCACCCTAAAAGATACTCTACTCCAAATTCAAACACCTCGGCCGAGCCTCTCAACCGAAACGACCCATCAATGACTAACCAAAAAGAAATATGTGTATTACAAACAAAAAAGACGATAAAAAAGTTAAATAAAAGCCTCTATCATCTGATTTGAAGCGTGCGAAAATTCGTTAGGAAACAAGGTGAGCCGGTTTATGACAAAAAAAATATGAATTTTCAACCGTTACGATCAGCTGTATCTCTTATTTGAATACGTTCTATATTCGAAGGTCCATCAAGATTGCTAAGGAAGTCACCACATTTATTAACTCGGAATCGGCTGGAGTCAGAAAACACTTTATATCCATGCAATAAGAACGATAAAGATGTGCATATCGCGTCAGTCTTATTCGCTCAGGGACCATATAGCTTTTTCTGACCGGCTTAATGCTTTCGTATCGATAAGTGTGGTGATACCCTTACATGCATTTTCAATCATTTCACTTGATTATAATAATAAAAAAATTTACTGCGATTCTTGCACTTCATATAGCTGTTAAAAGATCAAAGTTACACCAAAACATGAAGTCACCATATAAAGTTTATTAGGTACCTACTGGAAATATAACTCCACAGTAGCAACTGTTTAATGGTGAACAGTGAATTGTCATAGGCCTTCAATATCAATTAAGTATTTACTGCGATTCTTGCACTTCATATAGCTGTTAAAAGATCAAAGTTACACCAAAACATCAAGTCACCATATAAAATGTATTAGGTACCTACTGAAAAAGATAACTCCACAGTAGCAACTATTTAATGGTGAACAGTGAATTGTCATAGGTCTTCAATATTATGCGTAAAGCAGTATTGCTTTTTGAATTGAAGGAAATAGGCCATAAAAGCATTTCAGATTCTTTATAAATACACTTCTTTGGTATATCACATGTCTATAATTAGTTGAATTGTATATAAATACATACATTATTATATTTAATCATCATACTATTAGATATGACAAGTATCATTTGTTCTGTTTCACGCTGATACTCAAGTCGCCTAGTGTAACTTAGACTTAACTGCATCCATACCGAAGAGATCCAAGTTCGATTCCCAGCAGAAGGACAACACTCTTGAATCTATTGGAGTCGTGTATAGTTTTGAGAAGATGGAAACTGTTCATTGAATTGACATGTTAGACTATTGTTCTTCAAATGACGACCTCGGTGGCTTAACGTTGTGGGCTCTGGATGCGGAGTTCCCGGGTTCGATTCCCGGTAGGATCAATTTCATGAAAATTAACTTTTTTGTTAAAATTAACTAAATTGGTTCTGGACTGGGAGTTCTGGGAAGTGCCCCAAAGTGAATTCCCTTACTCTGGTACTCATGGGGATGGGCATTCCCTAGTTTGACACCAAGCAATTGGTGTGGTTGTCTTGCACATACGTATATTAATTCTTAATGGAGAAATCAAACCTTTAACCCGAGACAGGGTTATGGCGGCCTTATAAGCCTTGAAATCTTGTAGCTTAAAGGCTTAGCCCATGTTTCTCGTAATAACGCTTCCCATACGGATGACATCATGACCAAACAACTAATACTAACAAATCGACACGTGTCTTCAAGATGGCCTCCTAATTTTTTTTTCTAGAAAATTATTTACACAAATTGACAATTCACACGCGATGGTTTACGACGTTTAATAAATCGAAAATGAGTGATTAATTTCTATATTAATTTTCTTATATGTATACGTATACGTAATAATATTACAACTACGATTTTTCTAATTTGTTGATTGCTGTACCATCTTACGTAAGATCAGAGTTAGTTTTGGTCGCTACCCAGGAAACTATACGTAAAGAACGTTATATTGGTCATATAAACAAATTAGACATGGTAAATAAATCTGAAAGAATTTCATAAGTAATTTTAAATCCTACTCGATAAGTTAAAAAAAACAGTTATTGCTTTGAACTTAAATGAATACATCGGCCTTGAATTTGGGTAATGGTTATTCAGTTACTAGTCAAATGCTTTGATGTGATTGGTTGAGAGCAAATAAAAGGATACAAGGGCGGGAGTCATTCCTATTGGTCGAGAATGAGAAACTGCTTAAAGTTGTGTCGTTGTAGTGCGGTAATACACGTCCGATTTCGTGTCTGATGGTCGGATCCGACTATCGGATACGAAATCGGATTCACTCAATACACGTCCGATTCTTACGTCACTTTTTCTGAACTAACTGCAGTGTTGCCAATTTATGGGGAATTCCCCAAATACAAAGAATTTCAACTCAACAACTCGTTTGGGGATTTTGTTTGGATTTTGCTATATGGGGAAAATGCCCTCGCATTCTAGAATGTTATCATATTTTTGTTACATTGATGATCTCTGATAAAAATACTATTTATTTGTTTGTTTGCGAACGATATTGATATTTTTTTCAATATCGCACATGCGCTGCTTATAGCAACATTTATATAGAATTATTAGCAAACCGCTTATATGTAAACAATTATCTAGTAGAATTAGAATCACTTTGTCTTGAATTGTAAAATTACTACTATTATCAGTCACCGACAAGATCCTGGCTCTTAAATAGGATGATGATGATGATGATCAGTAAATTGAGTGTTGAGCGCGCGACCCTTCCTCGTTTTGACCGGTCCCCGGTATGAAAAAAGAATACAGCTGTTGCCGAACAAAGCCGAGCAGTAGGTATTTTTAGGACTAATCACACACATCAGGGCCGTGCCCGGGACTAGGACGGGGCGTGCTAGTTTGTATGAACTGCGGGCCCATCACAGCGCCGGCTCGGACACGGACATGTGTGAACGAGTTCATACAAAATAAACGCAACGACATTTTTTAAGCTCCTGACGGAGCACCGCGCGTCCACGTCCCGGGCAAGCTTAATTAGTAAGATTTAAACTTAATTCAACTTGTTGTATTTATTTCTAATTATAGCATAACCTATATGTAATAGATGGGTACATTTTGACTTTCTTAATTATTGGATATATTTTTAAGCGTAAAAATAATAATATAATAAATACTGAGAATGAATAAATATTATTACATGTGGGAAATATGACTTTTGCTCTCCCCAAATTTATAATCTTGATTTTTGGGGGTTTTGAATAACTAGCATTGGCAACGCTTCAAATCGGAGGGAAGAATCGGACGTGTATTTCGTCTCCCCCAAAAGTATAGAGCGCGCGCCTTCAGACAATCGGATCGGTAATAAAATCGGACCCTATTTCCGACTCGGACCGATCCGATTATTGGATCGGACGTGTATTGAGTGTTCATACAATTATATGGTACGAGCGCCTTCCAGTAGTCGGATCAGACTATCGGATCCGACTAACGGATGGAAAAAAGGAACGTGTATTGTCGCACATAGGGGCGAAAGAAGATTTACTCAATAGATTCTGCTGCCTTTTGTTATCTGCATAATATTGTATACGATTGTATAATTAAATAGTTTATGGTGACATAGTAAATGTAGAAATAACTGTACCTTCGTTTTTGGAACATTTGCGTCAATAACAGCCATTATACATTGAGCTATTATTTAAATAACTGCAATTTCAACAGGATGAATTTCATCCAATAAGTTCAACTTTTCAATAAGTTCAAGATTTAAATCCGGAAAAATAGTTTCATTTCCTATGTGTAACAATCGCGAAAACCTAAGAACTCGATAAGTTCAACTTGTTAAAAAGATGTACCTAGTTCAACTTATTGGAATATTTGTGTCCGATTAGTTCAACTGATTGAACTTATAGTTGAACTTAGTGGAATATATCACTATCATCATAAACAGTACAGAAAATATCGATACCTCACACGTAAGTTGTTGCAAATCAAAATACCATTTTTTTGCTTTTAAACTTAAATATAATATTTTTTATGTATACTATAGGTTCCGTGTTTGAAAGTAAACATAAACTGAGTGATTCCTTTACTTTTAAATATGAAAACTATAAAAATACATAAAAAAGGACACTAAGTTAAAAAGCACAAAATCGTATTTTGACTTACAACAACTACGTCTGGAGTATCGACATCGTCCCATACAAGTATAGACTTTATCAGGGCGTTGCAATCGCATTTTTTTATATATAATATCAAGTGACAGTATGAACAATTATGAGAGTTGTAGTGCCACGCAGAGCTATAAATCGCAAAGACCTGAGGAGCATTGCCACTGCATCCGTCACATTAAAACATAAATTTGACAACTGTCATGTGCCAGTTT